CATGCCAGTGATGAAACAAGCAAACAAACCCCTGTATCTTCTTTATCTTAGAAATTATTTTGTTTATGTTCTGCAAAGATTTCTGGATTGGGCACCTGGAGATATGTGATTCTGGACTGATGGGTTTGCGTTAATGATCTGGTATGTTTTGGAGTGTAAGCAGAACACTGTTTCATTACCCTTGATTATCAAATGAAAGCTCTGAGTGTGACATCCTTGTCAGAGGAGCACACTTGTTCATCTAAAAGGAACCATGTGCATATATATAGTATATATATATATATATACATATATACACACCCCTGACAGAAATCCAAACTTGAACCGCATCATTTTGCTCTATAATTTTGCTCTATAATGTAAACCAGGTCATTTTCTTTCAGTATCATGAATGTTCTTTGCCTTTGGAGCATGACAGTTCTGTATCATGAGTAGGAGAAAAAGTATTTATATGTATCAACTATTGACACATCAGAATGTGGAAAACAAGTGACTAACGGCTTCAGGAAGGTGAAGTCCTGCCATGTCTTAAAGACAGTCCACAATGTAGGGGCCCAACACGTGGGTTCAACTAGCTCATCTTCCACCTCCATGCACCAGGGTCGCGTATGGGTGCTGCTGGTCCCAACTGCTCTACTTTCCATCCAGACCCCTGCTGGCCTGCGAACAAAACAGAGGATAGTCCAATGCCTTGGGACCCTGTACCCACATGGGAGACCGGGAAGAAGCTCCTGGCTCCTGGCTTCAGATCGACTCAGCTCTAGCCTTTGTGGTCATTTGGAGAGAAGATCTTTGTCTCTCCTCTCTGTAAATATGCCTTTCCAATAACACATAAATAAATAAACCTTTAAAAAAGATAGTCCACAATGTTTCAGCCATTTAAAACATCAAAACCCAATGTATCTAAAGAGTAAACAGTATTTCGGATAGATTTCTTTTTCACTCTAATATTTATTGTACTCTACACATAGTTTTTTAAATAATCAGGCCATTATCATGAGAGCCATGCCACCATAATTTTACAAACTCACCGTTCTCTGAAGTCACTGCGACCAACTGTTTTGCTCATGTCTGACTGTTGAGGCAACTTTTACATGAAGGATTCCCGGGCTCACTGGAAGTTGCCCTTAAAGTCCTTTGGTGGAAACTGAACGGGCTTTCCTGTAGACTATACACTTCACACCTACACTAACACTCTGCTGAGTGTACTCACTGGAAGGACTACCACAGGTCAACGTATCCACTGCACAAAAGCTGTAGATCAGGATGAGTCCATGTCCAGCTTACACACTGCAGCATCCAGATGCAGAACTCCAAGCTGCATTTAACAGTGACTTACGAATATAAAGAGCAAACAGAATTTTTCGTATTGATTTGGGGAGGATCTGAACTCAGCTGCTTGGCTAAAACCTTGATCCTGTCACCACAGCTCTGAACCATCAATATTCTATTATTGTCAAATGATCAAATCATTCAATATTGTAAATGAAACAGGAAATCAAAAACTTACTATGTCATCATGGTACAGCTTAATTATGATTTCTTAAAATTCACACACTTTGCTCAAATATCTGTTAGTAATGTTTGTTAAGCAGTGAAAGCAATCCAGAATGACCCCCGCCATTCTTACCTTTAAGATCTGAGTGCTAGAAAAGTTAACAGAGAAAGCATTTTCTTTGTTTCTGGGTTCCCACCAGCAAAAGCAGTGGATGCTCATATCCCTGAGCCATTGTTGAAAAACAATCAGAGCTACAAAGCAAAGGCTAGTGTTCACCCTTTTCTCCTTCAAATACAATATCCATAAATCATAATGCAATGGAAGTATTTTAACATAGAAGGTGACTGTGAACTCTTTTATCTCAAGCATTATGCCTGCTACAGATGAACGTATTGTTTTAATGATTTTCTGAAAGCTCAATATCCTGGAGTACATCCTCAGAGTATGTTGGAGGTTATCACAAAGACTAGGCTAATTTAATAGATGATCTCCAAGTCCAATGAGTGAGTGTGTGTGTGTGTGTGTGTTTGACCAAGGTGGGGGCATAACAAACTACCTTAAAAACCTCCAACCAGAGGGAGACTGACCAGCCAAATGTTTCAATTGCCAACCTGTGGATTTCATCCTTACATTGTGGTAGAACGGCTTTTCCACACTCCCTACCAGAAGCTAATCCTAGCAGGCTTTCTCTTTACTAGAAAACAAGGGGCTCCACTGACTGCTGATTTTAACTAAGCCAAGACTTCCTATAGACTTTGACAAACCTTAGGCTGTGCAGTGTTCTGGGGCACTTCTTTCCAACTTAACCTCCCTCATGCCCTCACTGACAGGCACTACAGCACAGCCAGCTGACGATTTGGCTGGCATCAGCCAGCTCCTTCTCCATTTTTTTCTTACATTGAAAAAAAAAAAACCCTCTTCATGTTTAATCCTCTTTTAGCAGCTGCTTTATGGAGGATCCAGGCTAATCTAATAAGCAACTTCAAGACAGAGCATCTCTCCGTGGAAAATTAATAGCTCTGCTTTCCAACATCCTGTTCATCTGCTGCACTATAAATTAATATACTATATTAAAATATAACAATATACCATAGTACATTTGATAATAAATTCAGATAAGACACGTGGTTTGACAGTAAGCTATGAGTGTCCTTTTAATTGCAAATGATCAGTCCTCCATGAAGATCTGTACACAAGGCACCTGCCAAATAAATGAACACATACTTTCCAGTGACTCAGTATAGAAGGTTCATTGCTCAATTTGATTTTTAATCTTATTTTTAAGCCTATTTGAATAATATGCTACTCAGATAAAAAAACAGTACCATCTTTAATTCCACACTAATCTTGGATATTCATTTGTAAAAAGAAAAAAAAACACACATGAATGCTATTTCACTTGTCTAATTAATACAATGCTCTTTGTAGGACGCAAATTGGTTTTCCAATTATTTCCTAATATATTTAATACACTTCTAATTATGAAAATGTTTTCATCAGTGACTCTGACATTAAATTTTAAGAGAAAAAAATGATTTTGTTTAATATTATCTGAATTTCTCTCTTTGAAATACACACCACATCTCAGACCCTGCAAGCAAAGGAGTTCTTGGAATAAAAAATTTACCTGATTTTTAGCAACTATCAGGCACAGTGTGTGGCATTACACGTGTTGTGCAGAAAGTCTACTGGATTAATGCAATCATGTCTTGCTGATATTTGTGAATGCAGTGTAATCTCACGTTTCCCTTCGCTGACAGCAGCTACTGTACTGATGTGAAGTCCGAGATGGGAATTCCCCTGACTGACTTAGCTGCACTTCCTTTCGCTTCTGTGACTAGGAACAGGGTTGGGTGCTGGCGGAGGCTTAGGGCAGGGCAGGAGAGGGAGTAGCGTCTTCCCTGGACCTCAGGCTCAGGAAAGAAGCTTTCAAGCAGCAGATCCCATTGTGGAGATGCACTTCTACATTCTGGGTCTCTTCTCTTCCCAAGAAACCTGCACACTGTCGTGGCCTGTAACCGACAACCACAGGGAGGTGGGTAAGACCCACAGTTGGGCCAGCTGGAGTTCTGATGCCATGACTGCTTCCTTATCCCCTTTGATGTTTTAAATTCTCTTTGGAATCCTATGCTATGCCATTGTTATTTCTACAGTGGCCTGAAACAGCTATAAATATTTCCCAGTATAGAATATATCCACGTATCTTTGGATTTTGGCACAGGACTTAGTCCTTTTTAATATACATTCAAAATACAGCACATTAACACTAAGAATTATGGTCTAATCTGTTACCTAGACACTAGGGGTGAGGATTCCAACTTCAAAGCTACATTTATAGAACAGAATCTGTACCTCAAGTCTATGCAGCATTACAGTGAATGGCACAAGCCTCAGCCCATGAGTGGCTGGATTTATACAAATAACACCGTGGAAACTGTTTCGGATTTTTTTTTCCAGTTATGCTTCCAAATACCTAAGCAGTGCTTTGCACACATCTTTATGTCCAAGAAAGCATAACGGAAGAGCATTACAATTCATGACATTTTCCCTCATTCTTCAGAGAATAAGCACACACGATCTTGGTGCATCACAGTACTTAAAGGCCTATAAATATTTATAGATTTAACTATTAACCTTCTCAAGGGACAATATTTTCATCATTCACCCATAAATTTAATGAAAAAACTCTTAAGGTTCTGAGACTATGTACAGGGAACATAGGAATGATTAATTGAGGTACAAATAATGGAAAAGGTCAAAAAGAAAATATTCCGCCCACTACCTTGAACAAGATGCTCCAGGACAGCATCAGAAATAAGACCAGGAATGAAAATATAATTACAAGAAGCTATCTCACCACCACCAAATAATAGATCACATCAATACTGGTTTTTTTAACTTAAAAAAATCTTTCAAATTTACTCTCTTTTCTCTTTAGATCTTGTTGAGAAGTATTTTCCTTGCACACATATCTTGATGGTCAAATGGCAGTAGTGTCCTTCTATTGTAGTGCTGTTATTGGGAGTATTTGATGGGAATACATAATAATTGGAAGATCTTTAAAGTGAATTTAAACAACTCCAACATTGTGGCAAGGCATCAGGATCCAAGCCATAACCTGGAGGACGCTGGGCTGAGCATAAAAGAGAAGCTACTGTTCTTCCTTCACGTCTTTCATACCCAATCTTACTGTTAGGTACTCTGTAGCTGCTCTCTTTATGATGGGATATGCTATAAGAGCAAGAACAGTACAATGTTACATCATGATGGACTTGACAGATGACAGAGATCAGACAGACATGTGTCCATCCCTCACAAAGTTCGGACACAGGCTTCTGTCTCGGTCGTCAATCAGCACACAATGAAAATGAGGCAAGAGACTTGTTTTGGCATAATGAAGTAGGCGTGGGTACGTGCACAGCCATGAACACACAAATATACACGGACTATGACTGCATGGCCATGTTTCTGGCTCATGATTGGGGAAGGGTCTCTGACTCACCTGCAAGCCTGCCCAGGACCAGAGACTTGACTGCACTGAATTCGGTGCCTGACGATAGGTACACTTGTCTTCTCGTATCCTCATCAATCTACACCATCAGACGAGATAGCAGTTAGATGTCATTTGGTTGAGAAATGGACAGAATGCAAGAAATATAAAAGAAAATATAAAATAAGCAGTTATTAGTATGACCCCACCCCACCCACTGACTGAGCCATTTGGAAAGGTGAATATTGCGCCAGGTGCAGGAGCCTAAAGGCTAGGGTCCTTGCCTTGCACATGTCCTGATCCCATATGGGCGCTGGTTCTAATCACAACTGCCCCACTTCCCATCTAGCTCCCTGCTTGTGGCCTGGGAAAGCAGCCGAGGACGGCTCAAAGCCTTGGGACCCTGCCCTTGCATAGGAGACCCAGAAGAGGCTCCTGATTCCTGGCTTCAGATTAGCTCAGCTCTGGCCATTGCGGTCACTTGGGGAGTGAATCATCAGATGGAAGATCTTTCTGTCTCTCTTCCTCTCTGTATATCTGACTTTCCAATAAAAGATAATAATTTTAAAAAAAAAGGTGAATATTGTTTTATATACCATTTCCTTACCACCCTTAGGTCACCAAGCTTCTATCTGCATACATTACTATGTACAAGGAATACAAACTTGGTAAAGCCAAGGGGAAGATCCAGTGAATTAGTTTCCATGTTGACACGTTCTATTAGCTTGGCATTCTCTCTTGAGTCATGCAGCTAAGGAAGGGTTTCTTCACAGTACAGAAGCATTAGTATCTTTTTATCAAACACTGCCAGAGTGAATAATTTGACTTTCTCTGCTATGACTCAAATCATTTTCGAAAGCTGATTCTGATGCTGTAGTCATTATTTTCTTGGTAGAACTTCTACTGCATTTATACCCATCTGCAGGAAACCGTCAGTTCTGCTGCAGTAGTGACGGCCCCACCATTAGTAAACTGTGAGAAACTAGACATTTCCCAACTCGTAAGAGGAAAAGGAGTGAGGACACTTCGGCACACAAACCATCAGGTATTATTAATAAGATCTTGGGCAGTCTTGTTGCTTAAAAAACAAACAAAAAAAAAACCCTGCCTACATTTTATGGTCGTAGACCCTTGAGAGACCACGTTGAGTACGAGGTCTCCACTGCAGCTCTTTGTGCTGGGCAAGCCTCCCAACCACCGCTGCTGCTTCTGAGAGGAGTACCTTACCTCTACCGAGGCCACGCCCTCCTCTCTGGTGACCCTTAGGTGGTGAAGCTGGCCATCAGCCATGTTCTTAAAATCAAAATTAACAACGTCAGGTTCTTGATGCCTGTTTAGCTTGTACCTGATCTGTAGACTTCCTAAAGGAGGGAGGGGAAAAGTTACATTTTTTGGTAAATAGATTAGTCACTATGTATTTATTTCTAGAATAATCACAGCATTCCATTTCAATGTGCCCTCTAACAACTGTATACTCACTGAAGTCAGTTTCTAAGTGACATTTTGCAATATTTTCAAAATCAAGACTTAGGACATCACTCATAAACAAACTTTTTCCTTTGACTTTTTTTCCCTTTGGGGTAATGCAAAGATTAAACATGGGAAAAATCTCAGCAGTAGCTTCTTCTTAGAGAAAGACTAAGTATTTCAAAAGTGCCTCACTATTATGGAATACTGCAATTACATTCAAGTGATATCATCTTTTTAAAAATACATCTCACAGTCTTTAAATTACATTAACTAATGGAATTATTACAAGCAAACACACAGTTTTACTCAAGATGAACTGTATTTCCAAGTGGTGTGGGTCATAAACTTTGGATTAACGTTAAGATGAAATGAATGGGTTTAAGCCAAATTTGCCATTAAAATTAATACTACTCGCTGAATTTTCTAAGGAAGTGTCAACTAATTTATTTCACAGGATCCCTCTTTCAATTTGACAAAGAAAACATTCTAGTTGTAGACAAACCTGAAGTTGAAAATGTACAGAGAAAGTAAACATACTTGCTGAACGGTATTTCTATGTTGGTGGCCGGCGCCCTCAATCCGTACTGGATATAGCTGAGGACATATCCCTGAGTCCACGTTTGTTGCCTTACCTAGAGATTTATTTCTAAAACCTTAATTTTAATCCAAATAAAGGGACGGTAAAAATAGCAGTAAAGGGATTTTCTGCAACACAGTTCCTTTAGCAAGCCCTTTTCCTAATCCACACACCAATACTGCACTTCTACCTCCATAGTTCCTTGCATGGCTGCACCAGTATCTCCCAGGACTACTTAATTACTTCCAACAAGAACCAACTGGCCATCCTGTGGATATTCTCTCACAAACCTGATGATTTGTGAACATTCTCTTGATACTTCTTTACTTTGACTTGGAAAAAAGTATTTGGTACCTACAAACAGACATATTTCAAAGAAATTCACAAAACCAGCATTGATGTCTGTAGGGGATGTCTGTAAGTGGCTTCTACCAATAACGTATCATAAACATTTTAGATGAGCTAATTAACAATTCACAAGACATGTAGAAAATTATCAAAATGAGAATGAGGTAAAGGTGCCATCATTACTTCCAACAACCCTTTGGGTTTTTGCTTTGGGGATAGTACTGAAAAAACAAAATGAATACAAAAACAGATACTCCTTTTTTTTTTTTTTCCTGCTTGTAGTTTACAAAGTGACTACAAAAATGATCCACAGTGTTATAGCCCTAATGTTCTAATTCAGTTTTCTCTTGTCCAGCAAGCACTCACCATTTTTGGCAATAATAACTGAAAGGTACTCCTTGTAAAAGGCGCTCATATAGAGCAGCAAGCTCGGGGCTCTCGTGGTCCGGAAGCCGAGGCTCAGCACTTCCCGGCTCAGCTTCCTGTCGCCGTGAAACGGAGCAGCGTGCGAGCTGGAGTTTTTACTTAAGGAATAATTTTCTTGAAAGTTGTACACCACAGATGAGCCAGACCCAAAATATGCAGAAATCTCTGAAACGACATTCACATTGTGTGTTAAAATATGAAAAGTACAAGGATCTCATTCTAGTTATACTGCCTGAAATGAAATCTCTTTAACAATTTACAAATTGCATGGATGGAAGAAACAGCTTCAACCTTGGAGTGACACGCGGACTAAGCGGGCTTTCATCCTGGTATGAAACGACCTCATGTTTGGGTGACCTAGAATCAGTCCACCAGTTTACAATCAGATGCTCAAGGCTCTGAAGGCGTAAATTAGGCTGCTGGTCTTTTACTCCCTTGACCATTTTAACTCCAATCTAGGATGTGCTAGTCTCCTAGTAACAGTTACAAAACAAGGAAGTTTGACTAGTCTCTCTTCCAGGATAAACAAAAACAAAAGACAAAAAAAAAAAAAAACCCTTTCGTTCTAAACACTTTCTCATGTTTACTGTACACTATAAACAAACATTAAATATTTTAGAATGAGAGACTAGAAAAATGCATTTGCTTAGCAAAGAACAATCAAAGGAACTATCTGCTTCTTTAAATCGTTTTATAAAAATGTAGGGTTTTATATGTTGGAGATTAATAGCCCAAATTCACTTTGCACATGCACACACAAACACAACAAAAATGCACCAAGTCTAGATGTTTAAGAAGATGGAGGGAAACAGCAGTGTAGGATTCCTGGCCTTTCTTCTCTGTAGTTCTATAAAGGACTGGTGTTTGAATTAGAATCAGACACTGACTGGGTCACGTAGCAACAAGACAAAACTCTGTGTTTTGGCATATTTGGGGTTTGGCTTGGTTTATTACTTTTATATTCCACAATATTCTCTTACAGCCAACGTAGCGTGTTGGTGGGGAGTGATATTGCCGGCTGCACTTAGTAAGGTGCACTGGAAACCACTGACATCCAGAGAGCAAAGGCATGCTCTGAGTGAGAAGTGCTCTTAATTCCAGCTTTAAACCCGATGCCTCTTAGGATGGTACCGGCCACGTGCGATTATTACCCCAAGTTGATTTTTAAATTATAGCTTGTTCCTCATAATAGCAAATGATTTGAACAACACATTTTTTTTTTTTGCCAACTTCTCATTAACTACTCCCAGTGTTTTCTTTGCAAATCACAAGTTGCTTCCTTTTGTAGCCAATTTTGGTTTTTCTTCTTCAGAAAAAAGGTTCTGAAGTGGCCCAGAGACATTTAAATAAGATAATTGAATTTAAATTGGATGTCAATTTTCTATGAGAAACAATGAAAGTAAAATAAACATTTTTATATTCAAAAACAGTGCGTCTAGAACACAACTAAGATTTTCAGCTTTTTTCTTCTTCCATGACATAGGTCAGCGAAGAAGAAAACAACAATAACAAAAGAACACCTTTTCCTATTTTCTTTCACTAGCAGATATTCAATATATCATATAGTAAAATATCTGACTATTGCATTATGCATCGATTTTTATTAGAAAGTTATTCACATCCGTGACCAATATTTCCCTGACAAAAATTACAATAAAAACAAGTTTTCTAGAATCCCTTGAATTGCTGAACATCTTCATCAAAAATAACAACACCTTTAATGACTTTCAAATTGACAACTGTCCCATGGGGCAAGTCTTTGACAGTCATGTGAGAACATCAACATTAGATAGGAAAACAGCAGATGGTGCAACTAACACTCAAAGACACCTGGAGGCGACTATTAGTGAATTTATAATCAATAGACACTCATTTTTCACGAATGGAGTCAAATATAAGGAGTGAAATGTATTGGGCATTCAGTAGAGTTAAAGGAAAAAAAAAAAAACAAAAAACAAAACACATGCAGGAAAATCATCTTTGTTTCAAATGGCTGCCCAGATGAGACCAGCCAGGCAGTGGGGCATCTCCTGGCGCACTTACCATGGGAGCAGAACGGCCCTGTGTAGGCGGAGGGCGTGCAGTCACAGAAGAACCCGCTGGGCTTCTCCCTGCACTTGCCGCCATTGCGGCACAGCTTCCCGTAGCTGCCACAGTGCCCTCGGCAGCCTGGCTGCACGCCCGGCGTCACCCGGGCGCGTTCCTCCAGATCCAGCGCCACGCCATTCAGCTGCAGAGACCGGATACAGCCCAGAAATCCCCTCTGCCGGGTCGCGGTCCCGCCTAAAAGGGAAATACTATGAATCGAAACACGTTCCTGGGTGTTTCATCAAAGTTTTAAAGACTACAGGAAATGGAAGCCTTACCCGGGATGGGGCCTTATGGAGAGCAGCAAACATTGGATAAGCCATTAAAATATTGGAAACACAATTCATGACCAAATATAGATTCCCAAAGGATGCAACATTAATCCAATCATGTTAGTGTATTTCAAAGATCAAAATAGAGGTTATACCTTGAATTCAAAATATTAGTGAAATATATTGCTATTATACATAAAAAATTACATTTCTTGCAGTTTTAAGTAAACATATATTGACGAAATCCAGACACTTGCTCCAGGGGCCAGTGGTCTTAGTTCTGTAAGAACTATGAAGGAATCCTTGCATTTTTCTAAATTGACCATTCACCGATGTGAAATCTTGTTGCTTGTTCATTCACCAAAAACAGTAATTGACTGTCAGACTCTTTGCTTTTATCCTGGCATATTTCTCATTGTTTCAGTGATCCCCACTTTCTGTTGAGAATGATTCTTAACCAAATTGGGTCTAGGGCTGGTGAAGAAACAAGTGGCATGATATTGGGCACGTTTAACTATGTATTCAAGTCACCCTGGATGAGCTTCATGGAGTTTGGGGGGTTCTCTGACCTCGGTGCACGGAAGCTGAGGCTCCTGGGAAGGGTTTCTAAGAAACATACAGGCTCCCTCCAGAAAATACTGATTTGCAATCCAAAAAGACTCTGTGAAGGTCAGCAAACCTGGTAGGGGATTCTTGAGCAAATGATCACTTGACTAACATTTTCTAAGCCTTATCTGATAGGTTGACAAGCCCGAGGTGGGTAGACTTATAATCTGGAATACAGGAAAATGCTGCCCCAGGGCAAACGCAGGGAGTGACTCCTCTGAGAAGCAGCTCCTTCGGGAGCAGATGGTATCATTTCCACTTCCTGTTCTCTTTTCTTTGAACATGTTCATTTAGCTGGCTTTACATCTAAGCTTGATTACTTAGGATTTCCTCATCTTCAGAGATGATAGTTTTTTAAATAATCTTTTAGCAAAAAAAAATCCATAAATAGCCCAAATAAACAGATTCTTCTCATGTTTTATTAATTCACCTGTATCAGTATTGTTCTCCTAGGAGACACATTCTCTGTCACTACTGCTTCTCAGCACACGTCACAGCGATTTATGCACAACGGCTGCTCAATGACCATCTATGTAGCCACTAAACCTCAACGTATTCCAAGAGCTGGCATTCTTGCTGGAGTCTGCACTGCATGTAGGAAAGGATGGAGGCTTGGGGCTTCCAGGCTTGAAGAGGGGAACACAGGCTGATCCCCAGAAATGTATGGGTTCCTGGAACTGAGGACCAAACCCAACAAGCATGGATTAATATATTAGCTGCACTATTTGTAGCTACTGAAATAGAATGAAGGAATATCTGAAACAAAGAATTACTGAAAATTTGGACTCATGGACATTCATCCCCTTTAGGATTCACATTCGTAGATGCAATGGTTTCTATGCAGATTGCCATGTTTTGGTGTGTTTACTCATCTGTTCCGTTCCCACCATTTCTGTCTGTTCAATGAGGGATCTGTAAGGTCACAAGGGTGTATGCATATCACATTGCATCTTCATCAATCCAAGACTAAGGCAAGGAGACAAACATCTCAATTTCAGCTCCTTTGTGCACACCCAGGAAGTGGTCGATTTTTCTCCCAAAGTTCAAGAAGAGCAGGCAGTCTTGTTTAATTACTCCTTCAGTTGCTCAGTCTCCTCCCATTCTCGCGGTCTCACTTCTGTCCTAACGCTTGACACTCCTCTCAGTTGCTTTCCACGTCAGAGCTGCCACTCACCGTGGCATCACACCTCCCTATCTTCCCACTGCCAATTCAACTCGATGAGCACATACCAGCTTCAAGTCTTCAGCTAAGATTCTTTCACCCACCCTTGCTGGAGTTTTCTTGGTAAGGCTGTCTGTAGCCTCAGCTTTGGCTCTGGCCTAGGAACTTTTTGGAGGGGACAGGTACTATGGCATTAGAACTAGGAGTTTATTCCTGGTGTATTTTATTTACTTGCTGATAGAATATGTATAATCATGAGACATGCCCCACAATAGACATAGTGCTGAGCCATTTTGTTATGCCTCCAAAACAGGTTCAGCACATTGACACAACTAGCTAATCCTCCACCTCCAAGCACTGGGATCCCACATGGGTTCCAGTTCAAGTGCCAACTGCTCCACTTCCCATTCTGCTCCCTACTTGTGCCCTGAAAAAGCAGTATAAGATGGTCCAAACCCTTGGGACTTTGCATGGGAGACCTGGAAGAAGCTCCTGGCTTCAGAATGGTTCAGCTCTGGCCATTGTGAACCAGCATATAGAAGATCTTTCTCTCTGCTTCTCCTCCTTTCTCTGTAAATCCTAATTTCCAATAAAAATAAATAAATATATTTTTTAAAATACTGTGAGACAAGCATATTTGAAGTCCCAGTCTGCCAGTACCATAAAAATAGTGAACTCCTTCAGGGTCTGATGACTGGATACAATCCACTTTCACCTGTTGTAGCTGTGCTTCTTATGTGTTTGTTTTGGATGATGATGGATTAGAGAAAAGAGAACTCAGAGACTGGCCCACAGGTTAGTTAGAAACAAAGGTTGATCAGAACCCACAGATCACCTTGCACTCCAGGGAACACACCAAAATGTGTTCCAGAAAGAGCATCCCTCCGTTTACTCCTGAACCTCCCCTGACCTTTCGTTTGCACAGCGTTTCCTCTCTTTGAGCTTTATCGAGCTGCTCTCTGCGGGAGCTGGATCTAACACCGGAAGCATACAGTTATGGGCAACTGATGGTGCTCTCAAAGAGCATACAGTCCAGAAACGTATTTAGATACAAAAATAGGTGATTATCACAATTTTAATGGTAGAAGTAGGTACATAAGGTAGAGAAGCAGCGAATGGGATTGCTAGCATGAATATATTTATGAATGTGTAAAATACGAAGGGAACTAGAAAATTTCATGGAACTGAAGATAAAATCAATTATATGTTAAAAATTAAAATACATTGAAAAATAAATTATAAATCCATCAAAAGACATGCAAAAAATTGTCCAGAAAACTATGAAAAAGAGTATAAAAAGAAAGAAAACAAAACATAAATAATTGTACAAATAGTTTTAAAAATAGAAGTTCTTTGTGACATGCATTTCCTGAGAACCTCTGGAAGGTTTTGATAAACATATCGGCTAAAGAATGGAAGAAAATCAATATCTAGAATTAACATTTGCCAAATCAAATAGGTTTAAATTACACTTTTACATGATTTGAAAACATCATGTCTAATTAGACATAAACACTTGTATCATGTGTATATTGAGGACTTTTAATTGGCTGTTAGGTTTTGAGTTAATAACTATTTTCAGGTATAACTATTTCAAAACAAAAACAAACAAAAAAACCCACATGGCTAATGTAAACAAGACCGGGCTTGAAAAGTTAATTAGAGATTTCAAAGCTTTTTCAGGGTTAGAATACTTCCAATTAAAATGAGCTGCAGTTTGATTAATTGATTCTGGATGTTTCTGCTGAGCTATTATGTTTGGAACTGTCTTCCAATTAATTTCCTATCAATTTACCTGCCATGCTATATCAGCTGTAATGAATTCCGGAACTTCACAGACACCTGAGAAACCCGTGAAACAAATTTCTAACCTTTCTATGCGATCGAGTACCGCTGGCTCTGTTCACTCACATAATGACGTGGAGGTCCTGGACCAAAGCTACTTGGCTGGGCGCTCAGTAAAGACTGACTGGCCCCATCCTTTCATCACATTCATTATTCTCAGGAAGTTAGCCTAAGTGACAGCTGTTATTGTCACAAATAGTAGGAGCTGGCTCTTTCCTATGCCAATTTTCCACTATTTTTGTGGCAGGAAGACCTTTGAGACTACAACTTGATTGTTTAGTGGCAAATTATTCATGTGCTGTGCTTGGATATTGTTGAGGATTAATTGAAAAGCGCTCTATAATTGGCCCAGTAGCCCTACAGGAGGAAAGAAATCAAGATCCCCACATGTCTCTTTAAAGTTCAGAGTTACGGAAACTTGGCTGGCAGAATAGAGGAGCTCTTCCTGACCTAGACACTGCAGCAGAGAGACACAGGTAAGATCCCTAAATCAACCGAGGAAAGTGACTGGGCGTGTGTGTTCCAGAGAGACCCAAGTCAAGACAGCAGAGGACGAAAGCGGAATTCTGTGCATCACAGGTCAGACCATGAATCCTGTTCCGGTACAGCCAGGCAGGGGGAAGACTTCAGCTTCCGGAAATGATGCTGGTAAAGAAGGTTAGACGATGAGAACCCCTGCTGTACTTCCTCCCTGCCACTTTCTTTCTTGAGCAAAGGCTGAGTGGAGGGCACCGTGGAAGACGATCAATGCCACATGTAAAGAACTATGTGAATTAAAATGGATCATGACATTGGGTGCCATGACATTTGGGTGTCAAAGCCCAAAAATTCAGTCTTGTCTCCCCGCCCCCCAAAAAATTTTGCCATGGATATAGAGAGAGCAGACAAGACTGGGGCCAGGTATATTTATTATATATCATTGTTTCAGTGCTATCTTGTTTGAACACACCCAGGCCTATTTTTAAAAGATGAATATTAGCAGCATTGGTTATATTCTCCTGTCTCAAATCTCATCCGGATTCGGTCGACAGTCACCAGGATGCACCTGCCAGTCACTGGGCACACTGGAGATTCCTGAGGCTAATCATGACGAATACTCTCCAAGGGGGGAAGAACATAATTAAAATAAATGATACGATTCCCTTAAAGAGAAATGTGACTTTTATTGTACTGAATTGATAATGGGGGACCGCATTAACTACAAAAGAAAATTAGAGTGAAACAGAAATTATTTAAGCAGAAGGCTTTTGATATTCTCTTCCCATAACTTACTTTAGCATATCAAAACCAGAAAGTTTTAAGAAAAGGAA